GTATCACCGATTTTTATGAGTACAAAATAGTCTATTTCATAATCAAGTACTAGTAGTCTAATAAATTACTACAAAAATGTATAAATAGAACCTCTATCCCCTACTTTGGACTGAAAAAACTAATTCATAAAATATACATTTCTTATATCTCTATAAACAATACATTTCCCAGGTGAATTGCCAATTTTTTCGATTGCAAGGATGAGGCACGAAGTGCCGAATTGGCAATCTGTATTTTGGCTTTATACGTTGCATAAGGTTGCCAATCGAGGGTGAGGTACGTAGTGCCGAATTGTTATCTCACTTGGTAATACGTAAAAGCACAATTTTCTTACCTTTTTCCTTATATTATATTCTACCTTTGCGTATTACCTTTTTTCTTCGAATTTTTCTTGGTAATACGTAAAAGCACAAATTTTCTTTATCGCTTCCTTATATTATTCTACCTTTGCGTATTACCGAAAGTATACCATGTTTTGCGGTCCTGGAACATTTTCTCGCATAGTTGGTACTTTTAGGTATTACCTTTCCATGTCAAAAAAATGGTCTATGCTTTGACGTACTACCTTTACGTATTACTGAATCGAAAATTTGTCACACTTTTGCGTATTACCTTTATGTATTACAATCGAAAAATCAGATCACGCTTTTACGTATACCTTTGTGTATTACTATTACTATATCGAAAAAATTGTTTACACTTTTGCGTATTACTGGGTTTAAAAAATTGGATCATACTTTTACGTATTACTTTACTAAAATTCGACTTATGCTTTGACGTATTACCTTTACGTATTATTTTGGATTGAAAATTTTGATTTTAAATCTTTTGCGTATCACTTTTACGTATCACCATATCAAAAAATAATGATCGCACTTTGACGTATTACTTTGGATCGAAAAATCGGGTCATAATTTGGCGTATTACCAATTCGAAAATTTATTTTCACTTTGACGTATTAACTCGAAAAATATATATATCATCGAAAAATTTCTTTTGCGTATTACATATAAAAGATTGGATTATACTTTTACGTATTACTGGATCGAAAAAATCAAATCGCACTTTGACGTACCTTTTATCTGAATTTTTACTTTGAACAGAATTATGCGACACAAAAATCCCCATGGTACCTTGTTATTATTTTCCCGCAATTATTTTTCGATTTGAATTTTTTTCCGCACTTATTGTAAGAGACAACAAAAATCCCCTTACCTGAGATGCAAAACTAGTTGAATATAGCAATATCCCCTCACTCAGGGTATTCTACTATTTAGCTAGTACTTATTGGAATTGATAGTCAGATATGGTTTTTTTTTTCGTAAATCGCGTTACTAGATGAGTCTGAGACTCTGTGCTCTGCACATTCTGAAATAGAGTTATTGGCAATCGGTATGGAATCAAAAAGATTCTGAACCTCATCAGTCATCTTTGGCTTATATGATGGAAGAACCGGAGCTATAGGATCGCGTGAATACCTAGTTATTTCATCTTGATTATCAAAACCAAGTCCGTTATATGGCTTTCGGTCAATTTGATATGAATATTTCCAAATCTGTTGTCCTTTAGATCCTATCAATTTTCGTTTGCTTTTTATAGTATAACCGCAATAATTACCAACAATTGCATTAATTGCTTTTATAGCTGATTTAAGGTCTGGTGTTTCTTTTGCACGGGACTTAAAGCCAAAGAGCAATAAAGATTGATTTCGAAGTTCTATAAACCTTTTACGAGATGTCTCAAATGCAACTTTCACTTGGTCGTCATAGAGAATTCGCTCATCATCTATACCAGTAAAACCCAATGATTGGAAAAGCTCCCGTATAGCTTCCCAATGATTTGCCAAATATGTTTTACGTATGTCCTTTGCTACTGAATCCTCGAAATTATCTTTAGTGTTATAACAAGTATTTTCCCATTGCGCAATGTCCTTGGCCTTTAATCCTTCTATCGCACTGTTTTCATCATAACCTTGTTTGCGAAAATGGGACAGACGCAAGAAATGTTTCCTAGGTTCAGGTGGACAGAATCGCTCCACAAATTCTTTATTGCAGAGTTTATTCCAAGTCTTGATACTCATATCATTTCCGCCATAAAGATTCCACATATAAAAACGCTTAAGTGCCATAGTATCTGCGATGGAACGTTCCTGATCAAGCTTAAGGAATTCGGCTTCTTCAGGGACGAGATTCCGGGAAGTAGCAACTGCTTCAAAATCTGTATTCTTGATAACTAAAGCTTCAGTCTTAATCTCATTACGAACTTTTTTACGATTCCCTATAACTCCTTGGCTTTCATCCATTTTTATTAATTTGAGACTTGCGCCGGTACTAGCAATAAGACTACATGAAATCTCGATAAAATTTCTTGCAGAGAGACGTTTCTGATGTTCAACCTCAATAAATGATATTACAGCGGGTGACTGGTCAAGTTTATAGGAAATAATATCTTTGTCCCATTCACGATGCCCCTTTACCGCTGTAGGTAAATCATTAGGCCGAGCAACTACAAGTTCTGTACGAATATTTTCATGGCCTGGTGAACGGAACAGCTCATTGGAATTTTTCTGATAAAAGAAAGAAAGTATACGCTTTTCACAATCACGAATTCGGAACATCATCTGGATAAATGCCTCAACATTAACTGGGGTTGCAATATTCGTAATGCCTATAACCATATCAAAGTGATTAGTTTTTTCGAAAGAAATGCCCGCTTCTACGGTGTTTGTATAGGCTACACAATCGAGTTCACCCCAAGCAGTATTAATATCTAAAAAGTCCTTTTTTCGTTGTTTTCCATCCATATCTCCATAATAGGCGCGAGCTTTGATAGGCAAATTATCTGGCCTACGTAATTTAGAAGCAGTTTTTACCAATGCACGAGCCGTTACAGCACTTGTTACAACAAATGCTACGCGTTTACCTTACCCAAGTGACTCAAATCCTTTCCGCATAGCTTCTGCTCCATTATTTGGGTCATAAAGAATTTCTATAGTCTTACCTATAAGAGGCTGAAATTTATTATCAATCACTCGGATATTTTCACCGCGATAAGCCTTGAGAAAGATCAATGTTGATTCATTTGCAAATGCGTCCATTGCCAACACGTGTTGAGCGGATTTTAATACATCACGCATTGCATTTTCAGATTCGCGTACTTTTACACCATTATTCATTTGGCAAAAAATTGCATTGGTTTCATCCAAAACAGCTACAATCGGACGGGCTGAGAATTTGATACGAGAAAGGCTTTCAACTTGGACTATAATAACATCCCATTTGTCTACAGATAAATTCCGTTCATCTTGATAAGTACAGATTTTGAGCCCTGACGATTTAAGTTCATTAATTTTACCTTGTGATTCATTACTAAGAGTTTTTCGATAAGAGATCCAAATAATGGAAGGTAAATTTGCGCCACTTTTAGTCAATGAATCGATAATTATTCTTAGACCTTTTGTTTTTCCTGTCATCATAGGAGAGCGGATAAGAGTTGTGCTAGATTTTTCGCTCAAGAAATCCGGATAAGCTTCTGGTGCATCTTCCATTTCCTTCACGTTAATAATTTCTCCGGCTAATTCAGGAAGTGGACGTGGATTTGATACAGCATTGGCTATTCTTTTGATAATATTCTGTTTAGGTAACTCAACTGCTCTCGCTGCTTCACCAAATAATAACCCTTTGTGATCTGGTTTATATTGTTTTTGCCAAAAACATTTGAGTATAAAACGTCCGTCTTTTAGAAGAAACCCATATAATTGATTTTTTTCATGTTTAACGTCACATATAGGACATTCTTCAGATAATTGCGCATTAAAATTTATAAAACCCTTCTCGATAGTTCCAATCTTGAGCCACCTATACTTTGCAATAACCAGATTAGCTCCTTTAGTCAGGGCATCTTCATCTTCGATAGGTTGGAATTTTTTCTCTGCGGACTTTTCAGAAGAAAAGGTTCGTGGCCAGATCACAGAATAATTCGATTTTGGTTGAACCAAATAATCCTCTAGCGAATGAAATTTATTTTTGATTGAAGATATCGCAGGTCTTTTAATTCTTTTTTCTTTTGCTGATCCAAGAAGCCGAAGGCTAAAACGTGATTTGGGAAGGCCTACATCAATAAACTTCGAGTAAGGTTTTCCAACTAATTCGATAACTTTTTCCGTAAAGCCCTTAAGTTCTCTATAATCTACGAATCGAGCGGAAGGATAAATAATATGCCAGCTACATTTATTTGCATCTGATGAACTGGCTAGGGCAAAAGACTTTAAGATAGGTATACATCCCGGTATAAGATTTAATGCATCCGCACAGGCAATTAAAATTCGAGACATCAAATCATCACGAGTAATTTTTTTCGCCATCTAAAGAAGGAAGTTCTGGATTTGCAGGATCTGGTTTTTGTCTTGCATCAATATCTAATATAGAACGAAGGGGCTGGTTCCCGTTAATGCATTCATGTGCATCTGGTATTTTATAAATTTTAGAAGGATGGTCTATTACTGTAAAGCCTTTTCCTGCGACCCGAATTATATATCGAGAATTAATCTCTTCTGGATAATATACATCCAAGAGTGCTATATTCTTTGCATCATCTTCCGAATCATCTTCTGAATCATCTTCCGAATCATCTTCTGAAGTAAGTGCACTCTGTCCATTAGACGGAAGTAAATATTTAAAATACATATGTTCTCCTCTATAACCAGTTTCATGCTCAAGATCCGTTAAACCTGCGAAAAGACTTTTTGCCTCACTGATTTCAGCCAATTTTTGACTTTGGCGCTGTTGTTGAAATGATTTATATAGACGTTTTTTTTCCTCCCTAGACAGACTCATTTTGTTTATTGATTTGTATATGCGGCGTCGTTCAATTTCAAAAAAAGTATTACTGGATCGAAAATTTTGATTTTAAAGATTCGAATTTGTAAGTATTCGTATACTAAAACTTTCCGTGTATATATTATCTAAATGGCTATTATGGAAACTGCTCAAAAAACTCGAAAGCCCAAAAGTATTAGTTTTACCTCTATTTTGGACCAGATCCTAAAAAAATATAACTTGTCTACCGAATCCAACCCATCTCAATTATGCGACTATGCTAGTGAGCTCGGTGCTATGCTTCCAGATTGGAAAGCCCGCAAAAGCGTAAAAGGAGCTCTTCGTCGACGCTTATTCAAAGAAGATCAGATAAAGGCTCTTGTACCGGATAAAAGAAATGAAAAACTTACCATCAAGGAAAGAGCTGAGTATTGCGCTAAAAGTGGTGATCCATTTGATATATTAGCTAATACTTTAGATTTAATGAAGACAAAAAACAATAGCGATAAGGAAAAAGTTGCTTCCAGTTCACGACTTACATTATTCCGTAAGGAATTGGCAGAAGCTGGAGCCGATCCCAAAAATATTCTATTAGCTAAAAACCCAACTACTACTGAAGAATCTAACGAAATTCAGAAAAGACAACTTGTACAGAGGTTAGCTAATCCGCCTAAAACTCCTAAGCACTTCTCCTTAGATGAGGGACTTAGAAGAATTCAAAATATCAACACTACTAAAATTCCCACTATGCAAGATCTTGCGGATGTAATCATGATGTTAAGCATGAGACCTGCTGAAGTTACCACTCTTCGCATTATCCATTACGAAGAATCAGACTATCTAAAATGGTACAAACCTGGCTATTCTTGGTATTGTACAGGATACGCTAAAAATAAGCAAGAAATGAAAATTAATCCTGTGCCCCGACAATTCCTTTCCATGGAAAAGAATCCAGAACGTGCAAGAGAATTGCTTATTTGGATCCAAGATGCAATAGCAACCAGGAAGATAAGTGATCCTGTATATGGTGATAATGGAAAACGTAATACCAGAGCATTTAGCAAATTTTTAAAGCCATATGGTATTACAGCCAAAAGGTTGAGAAAAATAGGAGGTAAACACGCTTCTAGAGTTCATGGCGGACAAAATCCAACGACCCAACGTCTTGATTTACTTTGTAGAATCGCATTGAGACATAAGATAGACCGTTTTGATTCTGGAAAGTATTATGCTGAGGGCGATACTTCTGATTCCGAACCTGAATCTCAAATTTCTACGCCTCAGTCTAAGAATAATGATCTTTCGAAGAAAGCGCATTCTGTGCATTATAATCCTTTCGATTCCCAGATCGCGGAAATAGATTCGATGTTGACAGGAATGTTAGATTATCAGTACTGGCGCTAGTAGAATACCTTCAATTATCATAAGATTTTAAATACAAAAAGTAATGTATATGGATTAGACTAAAACGTAAAAAATTTATTCGTTAATCAATTTTGGTATATATGTTCTGCCCTATAATATAGAAAGAAGAAGTATCTCATTCTCCAGGTCAAAACTTAAAGAATTTGATTCAGAAGTTTCGGTCACTTTTTGGCAATTAACTGCATCGTCTGTGTTAGTGGACTTTTTAGGGAAACGATTTATAATATTTTGAATTTGATCATCTTTTAAGCTCGAAATAGCATTGGCGCCATAAGTTACTTGTCTAATTCTATCTATCCCTATACCCATAAATAATGTATAAATTTTTTTAGCTTTAAAAGTTCTCTGACGCAAATTTACGTTAGTAATATCAGGGAGTAACAATTTTATTTCGTTATATACCAATGTTCTTGCTGATTGATCACTAATATTATTTATACGCTTAACATCTTCGATTCTATCCTCATACGCTTTATAGTAACAATACCAGCATAAAATCTCCTTTTGTATAGTCTCCATAGCAATATTAAATAAATCAACTATAGTTTGTGACGTAACTTTCCCAGAGCCTCTTATAATTGCTTCTAAAGAGAATTCGGGAATATGTATATCAAATACACTATTATCACTTTTGACGCAAACGGAAAATTCATCCCTTAAACCTTGCTCTACCTTCTGGTTATAGGTAATTTTCGCTATTTCGGAAGGAATAGTATCCTGTATCTGATTAATCGTTATTTGCTCTGATTCAGCAAAAGTTTGAGATTCCAATTGAATTGTTTTTTGATCTTGATTTATAGTATCTTGGAAAATCTCAGTTGTAGAATTTATTTCGGAAGAAATGGTATGCTGGATATTTTTTTCCCTGTTTCTCTCCATCATATTACTAACCCTTTCCTTTTCTTTTAGATCCAGAAAATCATCAATCTTTTTATCTTCCAACGATTTAGTTAAGTCGGAGACTCTGGGCTCAACCCATTCTACAGGGGCGGAAGACGCGTTATCAGATGTATTTTCTATCTGCTCGGAAGTTACAGACTCATTTGTTTCGCAGTGAGATAAAGTTTCTTTGTTAGAGTGGTCTCCAATAGGTAGAAAAGTTGCTTGTGGTTCTGAATAATCTAAGGATGAATCGGGGATTTGAATCTTTGCTTCTTGTGTATTAGTAAAAGTTTGAGTTCGCTTTTTGAATTCCTCAAAATCATATTCCAATTTAGTTACTTTGACCTTAAGCTGAGTATTCTCTTCCACAGCATGTTCTAATTCTTTGACTCTAGCCATAAGCCTGGCATTTTCTTGTTTTAATAAATTTAATTCGGATTCCATGTTCGATAATATTTTTTTATATATATAAATAGATTTATTCAAAATAGAAATATCACGTGCGTGTTATTTTTGATAACGCCGATCATTCTTGGCAAAAAAAATAGTCAAGCCTAAAACGAAAAAAATTAATTGCATTCTTGATCCGGATTTTGATGGACCTATCATTTACATTCTAAAAATAATAGTATACAACTATTTAGTCGCATATAAAAATAGCTTTGCCTTTAGTATAACTAAAGATTTTCAATGTTATAATAAATATTTCTTATCTGAAAATGCGCCTTAATCTTCTCTGTTTTGCGAATGAATAAGAGGTATCTATTGTTGTTATATAAAAACGATTAAGCTTATTTTTTCGACATCGAATGAGGCCTGTGCGTAGTATGAGATGTACCAAAGTTTTCGATTCCACCTATCAGATGAAATGCACAAATAATTATGATCGGCAAAGATAACAGATCGTCCATAGTAGATAAATTTTTAATGGGATTCAAGAAACCAGTGATTCACGATCTTTGAAATTATGTATATCCACAATAGATCGATTAATCTCACCAGAGAAATCTTTAGATATGTATAAAAACGGGATGAATTATTTGTTTGAATCACTTTTATACCTTGTAACATTCGAATAAAAAATTCATTAAATAAACCAATTATAACTGCGTAAAATTAAATCATTTATTCTTACATTTGTCAAAATTGAAGGTATGTAGGCTACTCATATCCCGTTGTATTATAAATGAACCACCATACTGACTGATATTATTTTTAGATGACTCCAACTGAATTTTTCGAAGCTCTCAAAAAAATGCCGTTAGAAAATTACTTTATTTTAATCCCTATATTTATCCTCATCGTAACATTGATATTTGGAGAAAAACTATTTATATACCTATTCATTGTCATCGTATGCTTCGGTTTCTATATTTTCAAACAACAAATCAATATGGAATTCGAATTATTAAAAGAGAAACGAAAAAAACGAATCTAATGAAATATATAATAAAATAGACGATCTTACCGAAAAAATTTCTTTGTTTTATGAAGAGTTCCAACAACAAAGATTTCAGGAAGATGATACCTTAAATAATTCGAGTAATCTTTCAAGTAGTCTTTCGAGTAATAATTCAAGCATTTTTTCAAGTGGTTCTCGAGGTAAGATCTTTAGTTATACTAAAGGCGAAGCTATTTCAACGTATAAATATATCTGCTACTTTGATGAAAGACTCTTAGTAAATCAAAATATTTCCGTATTATATTAGGTTCAAGACGCACTTCATTTTCAGACCCAGTTGTTCAGAAATTTAAAAATCTTTTCGACGAGACCATGCGAAAAAACGATTATTCTAAAGCCGATATGATTGCCGAAGTTGTGAGCGATCTTAGAAAGGAGGAAAATATCAAGGTTATTTCGAACAAAGCGGTAGATAGTTATTATACAAATCTTGGATCGAGCTCAAGACTAAAGAAAAAAATAAAACCGCATCTAACAAAATATTAATGAAGATAGCGATGATGGAATAAATTATAACAATAATAATAAATAGTTTTCAACCTGGTAGAGCCAAAGTATAGGGGCGTACATTAAACGGTTTAGGGGCCGTACGTTCTCTCCCTTGCAACTCTGCCGTAAGAAATTAATATTATTTATTATTATCCATGTATCTTTATTTTATTTCGCTTGATTAAATAAAATGAATCATTCGAATTCTTATTTTTAAGCATAATAATAATAATAATAATAATAAATAAAATGAATCATTCGAATTCTTATTAAGCATAATAATAATAATAATAATAATAATAATAATTGTTTGTGTACGACCCATAAATTTCGGAATACTTGTATATGTAGTGCGACTATATAAATTATGCATGCATGTTTATTTGTGCGATTAACCAAATTCGATTAATTACCTCATGCATGTAATCATACGACCTGATTGTTACTATAAATTCTAAATATGCATTTTCTTTGTGAAAAAATTTTTCTATATATATGCATCACTCGTTTCATTACTCTCCAAATCTATTTTCATCACTGTATGCCGAAATCCCAGAAAGAGACCATTTAAAAGGGCAGTATAGCGAAGTTATTTTTACTCGTCGCTTTCAAGTGATTTATTTTTTTGTTGCTTGCGGTTTTCAAATTCTGGATAAATTTTTTTCTTAAAAATGGAAGGATTTCTTTTAAACGAAGAACTTGACACAGTTAGGATTGCTACTGCCTTATACAAGAGGGTTTTGACAAATGAATGGACTGGTGATAGAGATATAGAGGTCAATAATTTTATAGTGACGTTGAATAGAATAATAACCGAAAATACTATTGAGATTGAGCGCTTAGAAAAATTCCAGAGTTGGGGCGATGATTTAGAATTAGAACAAAAGGTAAGTTTATTATCAACATTTTAACGAAATCATAGTGGGTGTGATGAAATTTCTACAGACTATTATGATGTTTGTCAATTTGTGCGATTTGCGTTTTCCCGTGAAGATCCTTATGTAAAGGTACTGCATAATTGATTCTTTTGTGTAGAGTAACCGGATTACGTTAATCAATGCACAAGTTTATATAATTGAATTTGAATTCTGCCGGCATTTACTGAAAAAAAGTCAATCTGACCCAGCGAATTTTTTTTTGCTTTCCTTTCTTTATAAAATTCAGTTGATAATATTATCTATTTTTTTCCTCAGGTAATATCGGCGTTCGAAGATATAAGAACTTTACTGAAAATGCAGAGCTCGGTAAATGAAATTAAAGTTTATTTTATGATCTAGTTCATGTCGAATCTGATAAGATATATTTTTGATATCACTAACAACATCATAGGGTGAAGATAGAACGTCTTGGGTTAGTCGAGCAGAAGAAAATGTCAAGATGGTCATTCGTAATGTACAATCGGTATGTTTTTTGTATGGGTCATTGCTTTTATTAGATCATAATATTTACGACTATATCAAATTTAGGCAATGAAAAAATGTTCTGGACTGCAATACAAGATGTGGGAAAAAGTGAAAAATGAATTAGGAAAATTGGATTTGAGTAAATTAGGGTACGATCACCCAGTATGTTCTGGAATTTTGGACTGCGAATCTGAACCTATATCCACGTTATTGCCGGAGCTTCGTACTGTGTTACAGGTAATTTAAAACAATATATTTGAACTTCAATACTGTATATTTTTTATTCTTATTGATGCATTCCTTATAGAAAGGGGCCGATGATTTTTTGATAGAAAAAAAGATAAATGATCTTTGTGAAAAATTTACTCTTGAGGAGGAGAAACGTATTCTGGCGGAAGAAACAGCATTATCGCCCCGTATAGTATCTGCTGGAAAATGGCTAGATTCATCGGAAAAGTTAGAATCAATTACTACACAGATTTTTGAAGTATTGTAAGTATCTACTACATTATTAATCATATATATGTGCTGTAATTAATCAATCTAAACTATATTTTAGGCATCATTTATGGGTATCAACCAAGTATAGAGCATTTGTCCGCCATAAAATGCCAATAAATGAGACATCATATATGTGCGAAGTATTGACACGGCTATTTGATACAGTCATGAATGGGATACCTATAAAATGCGAGGCTTGGGGTGCATGGTTGGTATTTTTTCTTTTATTGATTAAGCCTTAACTTTGACTTTATTATTTTTTGAA